GTAGCTTTGTTTGTGTATTTACAGCTCAAACGTTCCACTACAATCTGTACCTCTCTACAGAGCTGCTGTTTGTCTTTCTGCACAAACTGAACTTGTTACCATTGTTTAGCATTTTTAGTAATAATAACTAACAGTGGAGAGATGAACTAAAAGGAAAGAAATGAGATGCTTTATTTTCTCATGAACTGTAGTTAAGGTTCCCTTGTGGAAAGACAAAGAAACAATAACCTAGTTTTCTCAGTTTCTTTCGCAGTTCAAATGCCAAAGATTGAATTATTTGTACTAAGTAGGTAAGCAAGCCATTTAAACTATTGTGAAATTTCATTTAGCTTCCAAACATGAGACTAAAACTGTAGGTAAAAAAAAAATAGTGTTCAGTTGCATTCATTCTTTAAACAGAAAATTGTTGTTGAATATGAAAAAACCCCTCAATAACCTGATATTCTTAGTATAACAGCTTGGTATCTACACTCATTTTAACTGCCCGTATGCCATCACTTCACAATTTTAATGCGGGAAATCAATAAAATTGTAACTTTTTTCCAATAGAAAATAAATCTGTCCATGTGACTGTGTCTTATGTGTCCATAGTTCTTAACTTACTTTCTGACAGATACCACCTGTATCATGTAAAAGTCTGAAATTTATAATAGCCACAATTAAACACTTTTAGACAGTAAAAATAAATTAATACAATCAAACTGTAACAAAATTGATCTAAAAGGAAAAATAAAATAAAAACTATAGCAGCTCAGGGGACACACACGCTCAGAGTTAAACCCCTATTTTGCATTTGTGAGCAGTACTTGGATGTCTGTCAGTTTGGCAGTTGGATATCGAGTTGATTTAGAGTTTAGTTTCTGGATTTAATGTTCAGAGTTCAGCCCAAGTTCATCCTTAACAGAGCTCTAATAAGCCAGAACGAGTGGAAACACCTGTGTGAGACTGCAGGGCCTTTAACAGATTTGGTTTAAAGTACCAAAGCAAACTGGTAGTGACAATATCAGCGCACAAACACACACAGTTCCACTCAGGCAGGTGTGTGCGATACTTGATCTCTGTTCTCCTCAGGAGATCAGCAGCTTTATTTTTGGACTGGACCACATGCACAGTTTCTGACTGGGTTTGTTTTCCTCCCCACAGATTGCGAGGGAGCACGGCATTAGGTTTTTTGAGACGAGCGCTAAGGCCAACATCAACATCGAGAAAGCTTTCCTCACGTTAGCAGAAGACATCCTCAGAAAGGTGTGTGCTCAATGTCTCACGTGGAACGTGTTCAGTAATTTATTTATTTATTTTTTCCACTAAGGTGTCACCCAGTTATGAAACCTGATGGCAACCATTCATAGCTGTCATTCTCACCCTTTCTTTATTCATACTGAAGCTAAAAAACCGGCATCATGGGAAATATTCCAGTATTTCATTAAATTAATGTTTCAAAGACGGTTTTGGCTTTTATCCCCCTTGAATTACAGGCTGATCCTGATATGTCTGAGTATTTGTTTGATTTTTGGAAACTGGGGAAGCATCTGAACTAGGAAATGGTTAATGATGCCAGCCTTAGTAGGGAGCGATTGTGGACATAAACCAGAGTGGTTGCTTCACATTTTTCCTGGTGCATATTTAATAAAGTGTGTGTGTGTGTCTGTGTGTGTGTCTGTGTGTGTGTCTGTCTGTGTGTGTGTGTGTGTGTGTGTGTGTGTGTGTGTGTGTGTGTGTGTGTGTGTGTGTGTGTGTCTCTTTGACAGACGCCTGTAAAAGAGCCCAACAGTGAAAACGTCGACATCAGCAACGGAGGAGGAGTCACAGGCTGGAAGAGCAAGTGCTGCAGTTGAACAACTCCTGTTTCAGTCACACTAACGCACACAAACACACTCAGACACACACAATCTCTCTCTCTCTCTCTCTCTCTCTCTCTCTCTCTCTCTCTCTCTCTCTCTCTCTCTCTCTCTCTCTCTCTCTCTCACACTGCTAACTCTAACTCGCCCTCTAACCTGTCTCATGAGTTTTCTTGCACACTGACACTCTGTCTCTTTATCAGAATAAAAACAATAAACCACTTCATATGTCTAATCCCCTCGTTCCCACTTCTCCACCCAACTATGTTCCTCCACTCTGCATCTAATGATCATTTTTATTTCTGATAAAAAGAGAAATCCAGTCACATTTCTTGTCATTTGTTTTAAAGTTTAAGTAAAAAAAAAAAAAAAGGAAAAAAATGTGTGGAAAAGACAAGCTCATATTTTTAATATTTCCTTTGCACAGGCTCACCTGGTTGGACACCCTCACACCCCTCCCCCTTTAACCCCACCCACCCACAGCACTCACCTTCAGTCTGAGGAAATCAAAGTTAAAACGAGATTAAATAGGATTAACATTTTGTACATTTAGTGCGGTTTCTGTTGTCTAACCATATTTGGTCATTTACAATTTGTTACCAAGTGACAGAGGCGTGGCTAGCTCCTTTTGTATGTGGGGGTTTATTTTGTCCTGTGCCTTATATGGAAGACAGGGGCGGGGCTGTGTGGTGGGCGGAGCCACATTCATTTAATGAAATTACAGTTTAATGTGTCGGTTCAGGCTCTCTTCATGAAGACACTGAACTGAAGCTGAAGCGTTTGAATTTCTCCTCCAGCCAAAAGAACGGCATTATACAGTATGTCCTGTTTGTTGATATTTTATTTTATCTGTATGATTTATTTCACTTTTTATTTCTTTTTTTGTTTTGTTTTGTTTTTCTTCCTGCATGCAGATTTCTTTGGGTTGGAAACGTTTCTGTAACATTGTGTAACTTTTGCCACTGGGTAACTGTGGGCGGGAGGTACAGAAATTTTCTTTGGAAATTCAAACAATTTTGCAGATCCATTAAAAAATAAGCTTGTTTAAGTTAACTTGTTTGTCCTCAATCATGTGCAGTGTCTAGTTTGATTTTTAAAACCAGCCTGACACTCGAGGTGTGGGAGGTGTGTGTCACCTGAAGATAGCGCCTCAAAGTTCAGAAAATAAGGGTGCGTCTTCTTTATGCATCAAGCAAAAATTAAATTATATGCAACATTCTCTGACTGGAAGAAATTTGTTTAACATTTAAACCTATTTTCTGCACATTCCAGCACATAAAATAAAATAGTTTTTTGTGTTTACACTCACTCTTTCAAATAAATGCAAGTGAAACACAGCAGAAAATAAATAAAATCAAAGACTAGCGGTCCTGTTGCTCTATTTTCACCTGTATAGCAGGAGTGCCGTAGGCGGAGGTTTGCCCTGGTGCAGGTGTGTCGTAGCGGTCAGTGGAAGGATCTGGGAGTTTCACATTCCCGTGGCAGCGTACTGTCGGTGCTTGCTCGGAAGTTTAGGGGTTTTTTCCCTGTAAAAAGAAGTTTTCTTCCCACGCAGTGAACAGCGGACGCTAATGTTTTTGTCACTTTTTATGGAATCAAAGTAAGGTCAGTGCTTCCACCCTTTAAACGCTGCACGCTCATACTCTCTCCTGCACTCATATATTATCCATTGTTGATCTGCACACAGCTGTTGCCACAAACGTCGCACTCGCTTACGTCATTGTCATGAGACACTCGCAAGAAAGTCACGGTTTTAGTAACGCAGTAACGCAGCGTACTTACGGGAAAGTAACAGTAATCTAATTACAGTTTTTGCAATAGTAATCCCTTACTTTACTCGTTACTCGAAAAAAGTAATGGATTACAGTAACGCCTTACTTGTACTGCCCATCTCTGCTTAGTAGTACAGAAACCTAGGGTTAACCCTGAAGTTATCTGGATACAACATAGTACAGGTATCTAATGCTTTGTTGGTTCTGGACAAACGGAGCCAAGTGAAGGAAACCGAGATCTCCACTGATAAATCTTTGTTCTTGTAGCTGCAACATTTCAACAATGTGAGAGAAACTCTGTTGCAGGATCAAAAATAAAACCATTTTCCCCAAATGAATGCATTTAAATTCCAGTGGCAATGTGATGCAGTTTGTGCTGCTGTAGCTTTTACAGCTGGGCTGGGGTTGGTGTTTTTGTACACAGCTGTACAAAGAATGAGAAATGATCCCAACAAGGAATCTAGTTGTAGTCTTGAACAGAGATGAGGTCTGCAAAATCTCACAGGGCCGTCAGTATCCCACATCCCACAGACTCATTAAAGGCCTTATTTTGGGATTATGCTCCACAGGTGGCTTCAACATGCCGAACTACTCAAAACTGTTTACCTTTAACCTGCAAAATTGACTCCACTGTTCAGAAAACTGAGATTTTGGCATCTTACAGGAGGAAAAGGGAGGGTGTTCAGTTTGAGGTACGTCTATCAGCTAGCATGTACGATTCAAGCTGCCACTAACTAGGTGTTTAATGTGTGTGTTGCAGTATGTAAACAAAACCTAAAGTCATATAACTGTACGTCTTGAGACTAGAATGAGAATATGTAACTCTGAACTGGACTGAAACTTTTAACCACATTTAATAGTGTTTGACAATACACTTAAAAATAACTACACTGTTTTAGGTTGGGTATGAGTTATCCACTGTAAGATGAGCCCAGTGATTTGATCTTATATTTAAAATTTTTTAGATTGTCCTATTTTATGGGGACTATTCTTCACTGGAGTTTTATTTTCACATTCTGTAGTGCAGAAAATGAAGAATAAAATAAACCTAAAAATGTTAGATTTCAGCCAAAAAATGTATAAATTTAATTATTTTACTTCACATAGCATTTGTTTTTAGCATATGTTCCCATACGCACATGCATACAGTAACTTACTGCTGCATTTTCTTTAGTCACTTCCCTGTTAAACCCAGTTAAGCACCCTCTGATGGCAACAAATACGAACTTCAACAAATTCAGGGTTGCAAAGTCAGAAAACTGTCTTTTTTTTTAAATTTATTTTTGAAAGCTCTCAGGTAGGGTCGCCACTGGGATGAAAACTATGTACACTTGTCTTTCTTTTGGGACAGCAAAAAAACATAACTAAAAACATTTGAGCAGAAAGTTGCTTCAGGTGATTTCAACTTCTGTTCGTCTTGAGAGAAGTCAAATGTTTTAATATTTCAATATATTTTTCCACAGTGCTAAATTATACAGTAGAGCTATTTATGAAAAATGAAAACATTTTTATACATTTTTTAGATTCAAAGGATAACACAGCCATTTGAGCATGCCTGAGGAGCTTCTCTTACAAACCTGTTAGCATGGCTGAAATCTCTTTAGCAAATCACTGAAGATCTGATTAGTGCCTTGCTTTGATAATTCTGTATCTGTAAACTCAGTCACAATGCTGCAGTTTTCTAAGCCTATCAGGATTAACATCTACAAGGTTAGGAATAACACATGGGTGCTTCCTTTAGTAGCAGTGTAACTTTAATATAGGGGAGTCAAACAATGCATAAATTTCTTCTTTTTCCATTCGCTGAATATGTTTTGTCGCTTGGCAATCATGAAAGTCTGCCCTTTCTGGCCGATTCATATGAGAAGAAGGAATTTAAATGCAGCTAAAATTGAAATCTTCCTCTACTTGATGGCGATAACAATACATCACGCTTGGTGTGCTTGTAAAACATGTTTTGTTTTTTTTACATTCTTTATTCATCCCGGTTTCCACTGTTCTTAAATTTCCCAACGCAACAAATTTACAGAAAAATAAAATTCTCTCATAAAAGGAAAACAAAACCAGTGCAGAACAACAGTGGTCACCAGTAAGTCCACGATAACTACATTCAGAGATCTTTCCTACACGCAGTGAGAGAAAAGCACCAGAAAAAAGAAAAAAAGAAAAAGGAACTGATATGTGATGAAGAGTCGAACAAAAACTCACCAAAAGATGACCAAGTGCATTTCCTGCTTTAAAAAAAAACAAAAAAAACTGAAACCCTGACTTTTCTTAGTGTTGTGATTTTTTCTTTAAAAGTGAGTTATACAAAAAATGAAAATCCACATATTTAGTGCTTTGGTTGACCAATATGAGTGACATTTAAAAAAAAATAAAAATAAAAAGCAGCAGTGGACCCCAACGAGGACCTGCCCAGAGGGCGGGGGTGGGAAGGAGAGGGAAAAAAGATATTTACATCAACTGTATACAACATAATTTATAAATACATTTTAGATATAAATTAGAAAAATAAAAACAAAAATCTACTGTAGTTCAATCATCAACTGCTACTTATTAAATGCCTGTTTGATTATTAACCCCCTTTATATTTAACCAAAAATAAAGGCACAGCAATAATTAGAGCAATATTTCCCCCTGCAACATTTCTAAGAGTCATAACACTAATTTCCCCACTGCAAACATTAAAATATAAATTAAAATGTATTATTTTTTTTAACCACTGAATAAAACTCCCGCACAAACAGCATCTACACTAGCATCACATGTTACAACTTATTAAATAAATTAAGGCTTTAAAAAGGGAGAGAGCGCCCCGATTTTGTTTTATTTTCCTCTTCTTCCTGCTTTCCTTTCCTCTTATGAGATTTATGCAGCATATGTCACACTTTAAAAATGGATGCATTTCTGGAAAACATGCCAGGAGAAGGAGAATGATACTGGAGTAGCTGGCCCAGCTCTGACAAAAATCCACCTACCAGCACCTCTGAAACCCACTGGGTTACAGTTCAGGTCCAGATATGTAGTTATTACTTTAACGGGTTAGAAAAACATTCACAGTGCAGATTCTCAGCCTTAATTTGAGAGTATTTAAAATAGTATTGGAGGTGGTGTTCAGGAATTACAGATCTTTACTCTGTAACATCGATGACGTCGGGTGTGGATGTTTAATGATGGCGTTAGTCACATTTGTGCACCTGAAAATAGGGCTGCAGTGAGAAAAGAGAAAAAAAAAAAAAAAAAGTCTGGCTAATGTTAACTAAAGCTAAAATGGGGCACTTTAAACTTAAAAAAGTTTTCTAACTTTTCATTTTATTGAATTTTCTTTTCACCAGTTACAAAACAAGCAGCTGTTGCTAGGTTAGGATCTAACAAAGCCTTAGACTCAAGTCACTCTTCTTTTATCCAACTGAGTGGCATCCCAAATATGACAAGAACCTACATCAATCAGCCACAACATTAACACCATCTGGTGAAGATGTGTCAAAGTAACGTCCAAACAGAAAAGCATAGTATCAACACCTGACTGGTTTTAATTTTTTGTCCCTGGTTAGTGCATTTACCACCTCCCTCAATTCAATAAACGGTATCCCACCATGTAAGCTCTATTGACAGATACCTCGCAGCTATTCTCTTTGTGTGTGGATGCCTATCAGTACTCTGAGGTGCATTCCTGCTTGCGGCCATAACCGGTGCAAATACACCGAAGTAGCCTGTGCTGTACATGAACACAACAGGACATGACACAGACCGTTTACTGCGTGCATCTTAAAGTGTGTGTGTGTGTCTAGAGAGAGAGATCGAGAGAGCGCACTGTGTGAATGTAGGTTGTAGTGTAACAGTGCTTTATAAATAAAGTTGTGTGTCTAGCAAGGACCTCCCTCAGGTAACCAGGGTGCAGTGTGTTAATCCTGAGCCTCAGTGGTGCTGACAGGCAGGTTTTAAGTTTGGACAGAGCTGTTTTTAGAGTTTAAGCTCAGCTAACCGAATGATGGCCAGCTTCCTATGTAGCTCTGTTTGTCATCCTCCGACTCGTGGTAAGAAATCAAAGAATGACATTTCTTAAAGTGTTGAATTGTTCCTTTAGGTTGCGACTGTGGTTTTGTTGTTTGCTTTTAAAATAAACAGTCTGTTAATGTGACCAAACAAACATACTTCCTATGTTTCAAATGTGATGCCACTGAAAACCCCCTGCGTCTACTCATTATGTACAAGCGTGTCATCGGGCCTCGAGTGCTATACGTAGACCAGGTCTCGTCCCTGTAACGCCGAGGAGCTGGCGGCCTCTTGTGCGGCGCCCTCCGAGTCGGCCTCGTCCTCGTAGCCCTCGTACTCGATGGGCTTGGGGCAGCTGTACGGATGGCCGTTGTCGTCAAAGAAGCGCCGGAAGGTAAACTCGTAGAAGGCGTGCTCGGGGTGCTTTCCGTTGCGGAACCAACAGTTTAGCGTGTCGTTATGGCTGTCCTCGTCGTCGCCGTCGCTGCTCCACATTTTATCCGGGTCCACTGGATCGAAGTTGGAGGTGTCCGTGGAGTGGGCGATGGTGGGGATGTATGGTGCCACCTGCTGTCTGAGGTCGCTGGAGAAATCGATGCTTCTGAAGAAAGGATGGGCTTTGATTTCATCCGCGCCGTTCTTACCGAGGCGGTCCTCAGGGCCGCGGCACAGTTTAACGATGAGATCCGATGCCTCTGCGCTGAGCTTGGCCTGCGGGGGAATGTGCAGCGTGCTCTTCCAGTTTATCACCTAGTTCCAAAATTGAAAAACAACATGAAGCAAACAATGACCTGTGTAGATGCTTAGCATTTCACTGCAACTGCCTCGCATACCTTTAGCTGCGTCTCCAGGGGTGTGGTTGCTAAGAAAGGAGGCTGTCCAACAACCATTTCATACAAGATCACTCCTACACTCCACCAATCACAGAGCTGGGTGTATCCTGAAGAGGATTAAAGGAAATTTCACAACAATTTGGGGAGGATTCAGATCTGAAATACAGCTTTTATTTACACACACACACACACACACACACACACACACACACACACACACACACACACACACACACACACACACACACACACACACACACACACACACACACACACACACACACACACACACACACACACACACACGATTTTTTTTTTTTTGAGAGACACTTTTATTCTACTCAATGTGTAATATAAATGGGGGTGGGGGAGCCAAAATAGTGTTTATTTCTATCCTGTAAAGCAACTTTTCTTTTTGTAACTTAACTCTTTTACTGATGGCTATTCAAAGGCAGCACACCTTTTTTTTTTTTTTAGCTCTGTGGTTTAATCACTGATCAGCTGTTTAAATAATAATCTGCAGACTAAAACAAGTTAAACTTTACAGAATGAATCATAATTCATTCTGTAAACTTGTGTATAAATACACATAGCATCAAAGGGTGCGGTAGACCTTCTTATTGTCACAGACAGGATGATAAAATATACATTTGTTCTCACCTGTCGTGCAAGTGTTTATTTCCAGCAACTCTGTTACAGTGAGAGCTAATACACAGAACAGCGCATGAATTCATGAGAGAGAAAAGATGACCAGAGAGCTCGACAAAGAGACGGCAGAGGCACTAAAAAAAAAAAAAAACAAAAAACAAAAAAACAAAAAACAAAAAACAACAAAACGCTATGCAGCCGTTACACGTAAACTCACGATGAGACTCCACTTTGCTCAAACAGCAGCTGGAAGTGGCCATTGGTACCCCTCGGCCTCCTGGCAGATGCACCCATGGTGTGAATTTCAAAAGTCCTACATCGGCTTGTTCTCAAGTTATTGCATTCATTTTCAGAAAACTTGACCTCTGACCTCTAACCCCGTGGTCTGGGTCACTGATTTGAAGTCAGCTGAGATTATTAGTAGAAATGCTTGTGGTATCAATTTCAAAATCCTAGGAAACTTCCTTCTGGAGTCATCGAATTCACAAACTTGGGTGACGACAATACCCTATATGTCATCCCTAATAGAGCTATATGTAGCCAACAATAATAGAAGCCTTCAAAAAAAACAAAAAACAAACAAACATTACATCAAAAATGTTGCCTGGATGCTACACTCTACCTGTTCGAAGCAGCACTTCTGGTGCGATATAGTTGGGTGTCCCCACGAGCGAATGGGCCAGACAACGCTGGTGCTGCCGGGCCTTTCTCCTTTCCAGAGGCTTCAGGCGGTCTGTACAGCGGCAGTTGGCTGGATCCTCCCATTCCTTACTGAAGTCCATGCTGTCCTGCCTCACATGGTCCCCTGAAGAGAGGGTATGTGAACACAGTGATTTTTCTACTTTTTATATGTCAGCAGGTCAGATTGTTTTAGGCTCTGAACAGAAAGATTTTGATGACAATCATTAAAAGAAAGCTGAAAGATGCTATTCAGAACTTTCTGGTTTTCCCCTTTCTTTTAAATGACAGTCTGAGAGCTTAGTTTAAGACATGGGTGGGGGAACTCCCTGCAGGTTTCAGACCTCACCCTGGGTCAACACACCTGAATCAAATGATTAGCTCATTACCAGGCCTCTGGAGAACTTCAAGACATGTTGAGGAGGTAAGTTATCCATTTAAATCAGCTGTGTTCAAGGACACATCTAAAACCTGCAGGACACCAGCACTTGAAGCCTGGATTTCCCCACCCCTGGTTTAACAGGGTTACTTGTACATATGTACTTGGTTAATTTTTTGTCTGTTTTGTTTCAAATGCCTTGGTATTTCTTTGTGAAGCACTTTGTGATGTTTGTCTTGAAATGTGTTATACAAGTAAAAAGTTACTTAAATACATTGGGGCATTATATGAAATGACTGTGATGTTTAATATGACTATATCACTGTAGCAGTATGAATGTGGCATGACATGTCTACTATAAGCATGTAAAATTAAAATAAACTCTCACCGCTCTGGTAATACTTCGAGTCGTGGGTCCAGCGGAAACCAGTGCAAAGACCGAAGTCTGTCAGCTTTATGTGACCGTCTCTGTCTATGAGGATGTTGTCAGGCTTGATGTCTCGGTGGATGAAGCCCATCTTGTGGACGCTCTCCACAGCGCAGGTGAGCTCTGCGATGTAAAACTGAGCCAGCTCTTCTTTAAAGATGCCGAGTCTGATGAGAAGGCTCATCATGTCCCCTCCGGGGATGTACTCCATAACGAAGTACAGGTTGTCCTTATCTTGGAAAGAGTAGTAGAGACGCACTACCCACTCATTGTCGGCCTCTGCCAGAATGTCCCTCTCAGCCTTGACGTGAGCCACCTGGTTTCTCAGGAGCACGTCCTTCTTGCGGAGAGTCTTCATGGCGTACAGCGCTCCTGTGTCCTCTTTTCTGGCCAAGCAGACCTCGCCGAAGGCGCCGATGCCGAGGGTCTTGATCCGTTTGAACATGCACTTGTCCATCTTAGCTCGTTTTAACCGAATGTAGTTAGATTCCTTTTGACAGAGCATCATACGCATCTGCTCCTGGGCTTCTGAAGACAAACCCACCTGAACACATGGCAAAAGGAATAGTTATATAGAATGAATGAATATAAAATAAATAAACTACGAAAAACTGTAAGCATCAAGAGAAAGGGGACAAAAGAAAATGAAGGAAACCAGTGCAACATATCAAAATGCAATTGTGGTGATTACCAGAGTTAATCATTTTATTCCAAAGCAGAAATTCACAAGCAGTAAAGTGAAGGCTATGGGATAGCATGCATTTTATTCAGCTATAGGAGGCCATCTTGCTTTCATCAGAAGACACATTCAAAACACAAACACCAGATTCCCAATAATGTCACATGCCAGCAGAAATACCTTTACCTTTTAGATCAGCTGTTAGTGACAGCGAGGAGGGAAAAAAAGAAGAAAGAACAGCTGAGAAAAAACAGAACTGCATGAAAAAGATCAGAGACAAAGTCACAGGAGGACAAGAAGAAATAAAAAGTAGGAAAACAGTAAAAAGATGGAAGAATTGAGCAGCAACTGTTGTGAAAATGCTTCCACTGATGTTCTCACCCTTTGCATCTCATTTTCCAGTTGCTTCCTTCTGTGAATCCGCTGCTGGTGGTTCTTCAGGATGTTCTCTATGTGTTGCTCCATGAAGAACTTGAAGGCCTGTGGGGAATACAAATTGACTCTTCCCGACTCCCCTCTCCGCTCTTCGTCTTTCTTGTTGCGTCGGACCGGAACAGGCGATGTAGTGATTTGCTTCCTGTCCTCCTCTCTTGCTGCTCCACCCTCTGGGCTTTCTGATGGTTTTTCCCTCGAGCCGTCCCCCCGGCCGCTGCTCTCCTCATCAGCAGGATCCTCTCTGCCTGCACTGAGCCTGTTGGCCCCTGTGTCATACCCTGGTGGGCTGGGTGCAGCCTGCTGTTGGAGGAGGTGCTTAGGGTAAGGGGGAGGAGGTCCGTGATAGTCAGGTGCTTCAGATACGACCTGCGGGACTGTACCTGTGGGTTCTAGGTAGGCAGGCGCAGCAGGAGGTGGTGCAACGTGCGGTTTCCATGGAGGATGTGTTGGAGCGACAGCAGTGTGCAGTTTGGCTTTCTGAACATGGGTGCTTTTCACCGGCAGAAGAATGGGAGTCGGTATGATGGCAGTGACTGTGGTGGCAGAGGGCTGTGAGCTGGTCGGGTGAGTAGATCCGGTTTTCAAAGAATTGGAGCGGACTGGCATATTATGTTGCCATGATGGAGAGCGGTCCTGGTTGCTGCCGTTGCCGGAGGAAGGTTGGGGCTGGCTGGACCTGGACTGAGGAAGACCAGAAAAGTACACCATCATGGACTGAGGGATATTCCCTCCATTGTGGTAAGAAGGCGAGGATGCAGGTCCTCCTGTCTGCTGATCAGTGGGACTGTGCCGGCTACTCTGGTTGACCGGGTACGGAGGAGGGGGATGTCTGCTGCCCCCTGTCACGTAGTCTGGCTGAGAGGAGCCACTCTGAGTCCAGCTAGGGGGAAAGGTGAACTTATTACCCCCAGAGCTTGGCATTATGATGGGCTGGTGGCCCATGGGCACTGGGCTGATCCCACGTTGATTCTGAGGTGCTGTGCTGTACCCATCAGGCCACGGCCCCTGGGGTACTGGAGAAATGCGTGGCACAAGGTAATCCATGTTTCCAGAGTACCGCTTTGTTGATGGGTTGCTGTCCCAGGATGACGCACAAGGCATGCCACCGCGGTTTGGTGGAGGTGTGACCCTCTGGTTGTTTGTAGGGTGGCCCTGTGGGAAGGCAGGAGGCGGTCCAGGGCTGTCGGATCGGTACATCATTCCTTCCTTAGAGCCCTTCCAGCTCGACCTCCTCAGGACAGCCGGCTGGATGTGAGAAGACTCTACAGACAGACACACTAAAGTTAAAGTCAAGCTGAAGGAAGAAAAAAGAAAGGATGACTGAAAACACGAAATTACTTTCAGAATCTCACAGCCTAAATAATTCAAAACAAAAAGGCCATCTAACACTAAACTTTCATAAGAGCAACTGTAAAACTCATCTTCTCAGTTGAAAAGGCAAAATTTTAATGCACACATATACTACTGGTAATATCTATACTGCTTCTGTGTTGTCAGTCCTTTTTTTTGATCATACCGTCAGGAAAAGCCACTTCTCTCAGCCCATTTGAGGCATCTGAACCTTGCCTCAGTCACCTAACCAGATACTTTAACAATTTCAACAAATTATTCTGCTGCCTCAGATTCTCTTAGAGTGGATGGTTGACTTCCAAGTGGCTCTTTACCTTGCTTAACTGCGTGCTGCCTTTCTCCCTCAATGAACTCTTATGTCCCCTTTCAATTGATGGGTCACACCTTCAAAATGCCCTCAATTTCATAACTGTGTGAATGAACCTGGGAATCCTTTTGACACAAGTTTTATAAAGGATTTGTATTAAACATTTGTCAGTGACTCACACGCATCCTTTACTCCAGGGCATGGTGGATAAAGACTTGTAACTTGCATAAAGGAGAACTTTTAGGGTTTGCTTTTTGTAATAACTAGGCAATACAGACGCCCTATAAACTGCTTAGGTTACTAAACAAAGACAATATTTTCATCCTTAAAATGTGTCACAACCACCACTCAGAATAAAAACCAAAAACCTTCCAGTCAACTTTTTCCATTCAGTGATGCAGTGACTCATGCTGTGTGTCAACAGCATAGTTATTTCTTAAAGCAAATGTCCCAAATCCCTCAAACAATACTGAGGCTGGATGGATGATAAAACAGGAGAAGCAACATATAATCCCAGAGGACTGACATACCTGGGGGTTTGAGGCCTGCAGAGCTGGGGTTGGAAACAACCTTACCCATGTAGTCTGTAGCCGGCCCTACACCGTGACTGATGCTTGGCTTAAGAGGGAAAAAGAAATTGAACACAAAAAAATTAGAACTGAGCAATTAAAAGAGAAATAAGACACAAATTGGCCTACAGTGACATCTTTAATTCACTGTTTTGTTCTGTCCAAAAGTTGAATAGCAATCTATAAACAAACACAGAAAATCCTCCTGTACTGATACTACAGAGACAAGAACAAAGGCAAAAAAACATAAGAGCAAAGACTTGTGTTGACTGATGATGAGGTGGAACTAAAACCACAGACTGGGAGTAGTTGGAAAGAGAACATGGTGACATATTAGATCTGCATCTAGAGCATTTCCAGAGTAAGTTGTGGAAATGGAATGACTACCATGAAAAAAAAAGAAGAAAAAAAAAAGTTCTTCATTTCTAACTTGTGCCAAGTCACACAACCGGCAGCATTTTCAGGCGCCTGTCCTTAACTTTGAGTAATCCTACTAACACAAAAACAACAAGCAGACAAACAGAACCAGTCACACAACCTCTTTAACTCCAGGGCTTATTAATTATGGCAAAAATCATAATCACAGGTGCTTTAGTTAATACTGACATCACAAATAGTAGTTTTATGTCAGTTATCTTATTTTAATGGCCTGTGAAAGCCAAAATTGTAGCTTAAATTAACAAATTTACATTAACTATGACATACTTTGACTAAAGCACTACATACCAAATTCATATCTGGATTGCACGCACTTACTCAAAACAAGTTGTAAATGCCAACTGAGAAACAAATTCTTTACCCTGAACTGTACAAGCTTGTAATTCCACTTTGCATGCCTCTCATTTTCTAAATAATTCCACTCAAAACAATCTGTTCCCAGCGATTACCCTCAATTACAGAGACATGCACAGAACGCCATACCTCCACAATCATTCAAAACAACCCCTAACGATATCTAAAAACATTCCTCACCTCCTCGAGCCCTGCAAAACGGGGTTCTCGCTGCAAGCCTGAAGTGTTGGGCTCATTTTTAAAAGGCATGAGGGCCTCGCGGATCTCCTGTAAGGTTTTGTGGTGAGGGTTTTTGGGGTTGTTGCTGCGCCCCAGTTGCCTTGAATCCTCTTGGAGCATCTTCCCTTGTGCACCAGTGTCCACTTTAGGTGGGTCTGACGGTTTCGACAGGTTGCGCAGGCTGTTCCGTATTTCCTGCAGCATCTGTTGGCTGTTGCCACTGTAGTTCGTGACGGGAAACGTTTTGGGTCTCCTCTGCCGGTATCCTTCGGGTTTCTCCCCTCTTTTCATGTACGAGCATGTAGGATGACGATGAAGAGGGATGAAGAGGATTTCACCAGTCCAGAGTTGAAGTGATAGCACAGGATCTTGGATGTCTGAGCTCACATCTGCATGCTGCAGCTGGGAAAATATAGAGTGGATGTTATCCTTGAGAATGTGAGTGTAGTACTTTACAGATAAACATAAAATATGGGAATTAGTAGTAGCCAATAGCTGAAACAGAACTGGATCTCGTTGCTTTTTATTTTGTTTACAAGCTAAACTATGGTGTATAAAACTTAAACCTTCAGACGAAACAGTTTTCCATTATAAATCAATAACTCACCCACTTGCTAGCGCTGTTAGCACTGTTCGCTAACAGAGTGCTGCTCTAACGCGAATGATCCTGCGTCAGGTACTAACATAAAATGCCAAATACATCCGACAAATTCGCCATTAAAATCACAACTACCTAACGATCCGTAAGCTTCAGCCATCGTAAGTTTTCTCTGCGTTAAATCCAGCAGCTCAGCAGTGCCTCCGCGGCCTGTGTGCTAAAGGCATCCATTTGCTTCTAGGCTAATTCAACAACAGGATGCGAACTAGCCTGTTAGCTCGAAGCACAACTAACAACAGTTAAACAACTTACCAGAACCCTCAGCTGCCGTTTTTCCGCCACAATTTCCTTCTTTAAATGGGTAAAGACTATTGCTTGACGTTCCTCGGTGACAAGGACGCAGTTTTACTCAAAACGTCTTTGTTGTGTCGTGCTGGCTAGTCGTGTAGGATTCCTGGGATGTCTGAATGACAAGTACAACAGCTCCAAGCTATAAATAAAGCTAACGAAGAATACTTCCGTTTTCCAAAATAAAATTTCGTTAACGTAAAAGAGCTTTTTTTTCTTCAATTGAGTTTAATTTCCCAGTGTATGGAAGTTCGTTTAAACCACTGAAGAAAAAAGCCTGTAAGTCAAAATTTCGCGTTATTATCTTGAAATTTAGATTTAATAACTTGACTTATTGATTACTGACGCCAAATTTCGATACTTATCAATAGATTAAAATTTTTAGATACGCAACTCGAAATTCTGAGATAATCACTCCAAATATCATGGCATTATCTATTTATTTATTATAACTAAGTAATTATTTATCGATTTTGCTTTTTGTTTGTTTCTTTTAGGTTTAGTACGTTTTTATTGGCTTGGGTATTCGTTTGAGGTTTCCTTTTATTTTAGCACAGGGGTACTTGACATGGGAAAGATTTAAGATGGCCTGAAAACCCATTGCAATACACACACAACATTCTGCAAATAAATTTTGGAGCCATGTAAAAATAGTTTTAGTAACCCTTAATTTAGGAGTGTTAAATATAGTGAGCCAGCAAAAGACAACCGAGTCTACTGGACACCTTTGGAAGATGTGAAGGAGGGCATACATTTCGGACTTAACTATATTTTCATAAATTTTAAATACATATTTGAGTAGGAACTTTAACTTTTAAAGCAGGCCTGGAAATAGCCCTGGGAAAACAGTAATCTAGATGCTGAGATAGAGCTGAAGTTGATCTTCTAAGAAGGTAATGAAAAGATGAGTGATTAACTTTCAATTTCTGTATTTATTAATAAATGGAAAAGAGAGAAAACAGCTCAAATGAGTCTTGAAACATTTCTATTAAGTATTTTTATTTTATAACTGTATTAAACGTCATCTGTACAAAAACCATTGTTGGGTTGAACTATTCTGCCCGTGATGAAAAAGACAAATAAACAAATAAAGCTAACAGTCCAGTATTTTACACCTCCTGTATGACCCTCAAGCTGACACCAAATGAACATCTTCATCCACATCCACTCTGAGGCACTAACATCGCTTTTAAACCGGGACCTGTCTGTTGACAAAAATAGCCTCTCCATCAGTGCCGCACACGAGACACGGACCGAGCACGTCCAGGCTGTTGACAGACAGCGTCTGGCTGGGCAGCATGTGAGTCGTCTCCAGGCGGCCTTTGCTGGAGTCTCCACTTAGCCAGGCGCTGATCAGGGGCTGCTTTCCTCCGGCTGGAGCCATTGCACTGCGGGAGACCATGCTGCTGTTTCTGCCCCCTAAAAATACAAAAACACTTATTACATTATGAACATAGAGGAATTAATACTATACTATATTTTATTGAGGAATAGTTTCCCAAGGAAATTTACAGGCCAACTTGTTAACTCCTGGCTGATTGAGTGTGAGACAGTGAACAGTACTAGGTGTAACTCTTGCCATTTTTACAGGTGTTCCACAAGGATCTATTCTTGGTCCTCTTTTATTTGCTCTGTACATAAACGACAAAGCAAAATGGGATGTCTACCAGCCTAAAGGTTGATTGCTCAGTCCCTGGCTACTCCAGTTTGCATGCTGAAGTATCCTTGGGCAAGATACCGAACCGTGAATTGCCCCCGATGTACCAATTGGAGTGTGTGTGTGTGCACAAATATTAGACAAGGTGCTTAGGTATAGGAAAAAGGCACATGTATGGATGTGTCTGTGTGATTCAAAAAGTCATTCTGAAGGAAATTAAATTAGTTGGAAAATAGTGTAAAAACAATCATATTTATGCCATAAAACTGACTTGCCTTGTAAGAAGGAAGGCATGTCTGAATGGGAGGATGTCTCCCAGTGCAGCAGCGAGCCATCCTCTGAACATGTGAACAGGTGATCTGGGTTGGTTGGGTGGAAGTGGACCTCCCACACTGTCAGGAAAACCAAAGACAGACGTATGAAACCATTATTTACACGCACAACATCTTTTAAATTTCAGTTTTAATACATCTTCCCACAATAAGCCGACTTTACTTTCAGCTGTGTGTGCCTCCATCAGTGAGAAGGGTGTGTTGCCTTGTCTCACATCCCACACACAGAGCATGCCATCCTGGCCTCCTGTGGCCACGATGTGCTGCTGGTTCGGATGTCTGTCCACGCAGTGTAAAGGAACTCGATCCCCTGACCTGGATGAACAGAAACCAACTCATCAGACTTGCTTATAATTGAAATAAACAGGAAGGAGAAAACAAAAAACTTTTAAGAATGCATTTTTTAGAGCTCTTACAGGGACAGAATCTGTGACGGTGAGTTGCTTTGCTGTCTGAAGTCCCACAGTTTGAGCTGACCGATTGAGTTCACCGTCAAAATCTCTGTGGTCCTCAGATAAGTCACCGCATGGATTGTGCTGCTGTCGGCATTCTCTATCAAAGGTTAAACAGTCCAAGAAAGATCTTAGTTTCAACTTGTTTCACACAACTTAAAAATAACTCTGCTTCTTGAGCTCACCGATGACTCGAACCACTCCCTCCTGGTCAGCTCTGAAGACGACGATCCTGCCATCTTCACCCACTGTAACAATCTCCGGGCTGCTGCAGACGACGCCGGTGCAGGGGGCGTTGTCACAGGGATAACGATGTGCTCTCGCCCAGAGCTGAGACACTGAAATGGTCTGTAGGCAAGAGAATTGAAATGAAGTGAATCCAATGAATCCAATCCCACTGAGCAGTCTCTCATTCCCCTCCTGAATAAGGCTTCACTAAAACCTATTATAATTTAGTTTGATGACATGGCGGAGGTTCTCACCATATGTAAGGAGTTATAGCTGTACCACTGTAGTTTCTTGGTTGAATCTTTGTGTTTAGTATTTTACACACAAATGTCTGGTTGCATACTTTTATTGTGAAGACGCTGACGAAAGTCTACACTTTGTTATCTCTAGTCAAGGGTTAAGAGTGAGGTCCAGTTCAGTTTACTGGTCTATTCTGGTTCGTTACAACATATTCCTGTTTTGCACAAGACTGACTTTAAAGATCATTACAAAGCAATTATACAACAGTTTTAATTTCCTGATATTTTAGTTTAAATATATTTCGTTTAAAAATAAAAGCTCAGAGTAGAATCACTGCTGCTTTGTGTCGATCTGATCAGGATCATTTCGGAGGTTTTCGCGGCACGCACGACCGGGAGGGGACCCTGGGATAGACCCAAAACCCGCGGGCCGCTTTGTTAGGTACACCTGTTCAAGCGCTTGCTACAACAAAAAGATTTAACCTGCCAGTCACATGGCTGCAACTCAGTGCATGTATGTAATCATGGTCACGACGACCTCCTGAAGTTCAAACTGATTATCAGAAAGGGAAAGAAAGGTGATTTAAGTTACTTTAACATGGCGTGGTTGTCATGGTGTCAGACAGGCTAGTTTGAATATTTCAGAAACTGCTGGTCTACTGGCATTTTCCTACACAACCATCTCTAGGGTTTAAAGAGTATGGTCTTAAAAAGATAAAATGTCCAGTGAATTACTGTCAGCTGAAGACAGGAAACCGAGGCTACAGTACACATGGGCTCAACAAAACTGGGCAACAGAGGACTGGGAAAAACATCACCTATTCTGATGAGTCTCAATTTTGGCTGCAGCATGCACAAGTTAAGGTCAGAATTTGGTGTAAAGAATGCAAAAGCAGACAGAGCCATCCTTCCTTGTATCAACAGGTCAAGCTGCTGGCTGAGTAATGGTCTCCAAAGTCACCAGATCTCAACTCAATGATACAAGAGAATTAGATCATGGATGGCCAGCTTGGAGTCAGCAAGGTGTGTATTAACAAATAGACTATTAAGTGTATCCCACCTGCACCAGGAGTACCTCAGGATCCACTAAGAGGAACTCAAAAGCACTGGTAGAGAAGAACACATTTGAAATAACATGCTTAGCATGTTTCCTCCACTATCCAATATTGGATTATTTGAAGATGATGGATGGATTGGCTTTCTTCAATGTGGAGAACAAAGGTCATATCAAGCTCAACACGAGGCATCCATAAAACATGACATACAGCACCTGGCTGTTCTGGTGGTGTCGAAAGATGGTGACGGCTCCTGTTGATGATGCTGTGACTATTCTGTCCTGGTCCAAAAACTGCAAATACATGAAGGAAAACGGATCAGCCTTATTGTTGAAGTTGTTAGTTCCACAAATGGGAAGGATAAGACTAAATGTTCTGCAAAAATAAAAAGGTATTTTTATATACATGAGCGTGGTTTTAGTAAGACTAAGACATCACAATAAAAGCCTAAAACAGTGATTTGAGTGCAAAGTAAAAAATAAAACGATTCACAACACCACAGCAGTTTTTAGACCTGGCTAATGAGCTACACATCGCAGTGAGTGGCTTACCTGGAGGTCAAGAACATCTCCATCATGCTTGTGTTCACATAAAAGCTGCGGGTCTCCTTCAAACCCATCTTCCATACCAGTGCTTAAATTACTCCCAATGGACCAAATAGAAATCCTGTTGTCCTGTGTGAGACACATTTGAGCTGGCTAAGTTAAATTTGAACACGTCTTAGTCATTATAGATAACTGGCACGTATCAGTAAGTATCCTACTGTCTCCGTGAATTTGGAAAAATACCTGCCTTACTGTTGGAAAAAAAATGTTCATCTATTACATTTATGTGGAGAAAGATGGCCGATATGTCACATTGTTGTTTATTACATGTCTTAAATTGTACTCTTATCGTCACAGCGTTTACAAGTCAGCCAAAGAGCAAAACACTTAAAATTCCGTTATTTTGCAAAGAAGTTTGGCGGGAGGTCCATTTTTTTTAAAGTGTCAACATGCCAACCTCGTTGTCCCATGAGCCCGTCGCAAAGATTTCTGGCAGTTGCAGATCCGAATGTGACACTGGCCGCCATTTCGTTTTGCTGATTTTCTGGGATACGTATTTAGCGTTTATACTCTCCATGGAACAAGATTCCTGCGTAAAATTAACGATCAACTAC